ATATATAGGTTTTGCTAAACGTATGATCGTACGTCTATCACACGGATGTTTATGAGACCGTATCAGCAAGTAGGGACGTTGATTATCGTTGAGAAAACTACGTTTTGTCATGTATATTCTCATTCAACATTTGTCATACACCATCTTTTGTTAAGCGTCCACCTGCACGTGGAATGGTATGCCGACACATATTCCTCAACACTCGGTCTTACTGCACCTGAAATGATATAACGACCCATATTCCACAATTTGGGGTTTATCTGAACCTGGAATGTTTTAACGGCTCATATTCCACAATTTGGCGTTTACCTGATTTTGGAATGTTATAAAAGCCCATATTCCATAATACTGGGTATAACTGCACCCATAATGATAAAGCGACCCATAATCCTGAAATTGGGGTCAAACTGCACCTAGAATGTTATAACGACCCATATTCCTCATCAACACTGTGTCTAACTGCATCTGGAATGTTATAACGACCCATATTCCTCAACAGTGGGTCCAGCTTCACCTGGAATGTTATAACAGCCCACACTGATATAACGGACCATGTTCTTCAACACTGGGTCTAACTGCACCTTTAATGATAAAGCGACCCATAATCCTGAAATTGGGGTCAAGCTGCACCTAGAATGTTATAACGACCCATATTCTTCAACACAAGGTCTAACTGCATCTATAATGTTATAACGACCATATTCTTCAACACTGGGTTTAACTGCACCTGCAGTGTTATGACGACCCATATTCCTCATCAATAGCTCTAACTGTACCTCGAATGTTATTACAGCCCATATTCTTCAGCACTGGGTCTAACTGCACCTAGCAATGTTATAACGACCCATACCCATATTGCACCTGAATGTTATTGGGGTATTCTTCAACACTGGGCTAACTGCACCTAGAATGTTATAACAACCCTATTCCTCAACACTGGGTCTAACTGCACCTATAATGTTATAAAGCGACCCATATTCCTCAACACTGGGCCTAACTGCACCTAGAATGTTATAACGAACCCATATTCCTCAACACTGGGCCTAACTGCACCTAGAATGTTATAACGAACCATATTCCTCAACACTGGGCCTAACTGCACCTAGAATGTTATAACGACCCTATTCCTCAACACTGGGCCTAACTGCACCTAGAATGTTACCTAGAATGTTATCCTCAACACTGGGCCTAACTGCACCTAGAATGTTATAACACTATTCCTCAACACTGGGCCTAACTGCACCTAGAATGTTATAACGACCCTATTCCTCAACACTGGGCCTAACTGCACCTAGAATGTTATAACGAACCATATTCCTCAACACTGGGCCTAACTGCACCTAGAATGTTATAACGAACCATATTCCTCAACACTGGGCCTAACTGCACCTAGAATGTTATAACGAACCATATTCCTCAACACTGGGCCTAACTGCACCTAGAATGTTATAACGAACCATATTCCTCAACACTGGGCCTAACTGCACCTAGAATGTTATAACGAACCATATTCCTCAACACTGGGCCTAACTGCACCTAGAATGTTATAACGAACCATCAACACTGGGCCTTCCTCAACACTGGGCCTAACTGCACCTAGAATGTTATAACATATTCCTCAACACTGGGCCTAACTGCACCTAGAATGTTATAACGACCATATTCCTCAACACTGGGCCTAACTGCACCTAGAATGTTATAACGCCTAACTGCACCTAGAATGTTATAATTCCTCAACACTGGGCCTAACTGCACCTAGAATGTTATAACGACCATATTCCTCAACACTGGGCCTAACTGCACCTAGAATGTTATAACGAACCTGCACCTAGAATGTTATAACGAACCATATTCCTCAACACTGGGCCTAACTGCACCTAGAATGTTATAACGAACCATATTCCTCAACACTGGGCCTAACTGCACCTAGAATGTTATAACGAACCATATTCCTCAACACTGGGCCTAACTGCACCTAGAATGTTATAACGACCATATTCCTCAACACTGGGCCTAACTAGAATGTTGCACCTAGAAACACTTATAACGAACCATATTCCTCAACACTGGGCCTAACTGCACCTAGAATGTTATAACGAACCATATTCCTCAACACTGGGCCTAACTGCACCTAGAATGTTATAACGAACCATATTCCTCAACACTGGGCCTAACTGCACCTAGAATGTTATAACGACCCTACTCCTCAACACTGGGCCTAACTGCACCTAGAATGTTATTACGACCCTACTCCTCAACGCTGGGTCCATTTACACCTGGAATGTCATAACGACCCCAATTCCTTAATTTCTGGTCTAACTGCTCTTTGCATAAATATATCGACCTCACCTTTGTATCTTACATCACCTAGAATGATATAAAGACCCACATTCCTAAACTTTGGGTTTGGAGATAAACCGAAACGCAGCCCACGACTTTGGGGCAAAACGCACTTCTAATGACACCGTTCCTCCTACACTGCAAATGCGGACTCCCTGTATGTCGAATGCTTAACTCGATCTTATATGCGCCTTTGCTGGGATTATCCCCTTGGCCGCTATTTCAAGATGACCGCTAGTGACGCGAAAGTCACATCAACAGAAATACAACACAGTCTTTACACTAGCCCTCGGCTAAAATGGAGCGGCAGGGTAGTCTATTGTTTTAAGCGTTCGTCACGGCGAAGACCCGGGTTCGATTTCCCACATGGGTACAATGTGTGAAGTCCATTTCTGGTGTTCCCAGCTGTGATATTGCTGGAATAGTGCTAAAAGCGGAGTAAAACCACACTCACTCACTCACTGTAGGAATCGCACAGTTCGGCAATCCTCATATACAGCTTTAATATTAACTCACGTGTACGGTTTAATCAGGATTAACTCACTCACTCACCTGAGCTAAAAAAACATTGATTTGACATGCATATCTTTTATCCGCATTTATACATAAAGATATATTGTGTTATAACGGTGTATTACTCGTACATACGTAATGCATACACTGCATTACCTAGAGTGCTATATAAAATATAACACTCGACGATTGTGCTAAAGTAGAGAAGCCCATGCGATTCTGATAATAATATTATATTACTGCTTTATCTCCAGCAATAGTATTACTATTACCATATGCCACATTTATATAGCGCCCTATTACAACTAATTCTAGATCACTCTAAGGCGCTTCACTAGTTTTTTCCCTCGATCATTGGATGTCAATCTCAAACGGCAAATTGTATTATCAATCTCAACTCCCTGGGGATCATAGAACTCCTGCAGCCACTAGGCGCACCGAATTATGTGGCTTTCGTATCCGTACGAGGTACCCATTCACAGCGGGGTGGACGGGGACACATAGTCACAGACTATATAACAGATAGTCTGCGCTATGTTTGTGTGAACTAGTAAACGTTTGTCAATATTAACACTGTCTTGAATGCATATAACCCTGGTCAATATGACACTGTCTTCCCTTGTAGATGTGGAATCAGGAGACAGTCCATGCATATATATTTAAAATGTTTTAACAAATGATTTACATAGGCTGACAAACGCATACGTTTTGTGGAAGGCGTGTCTGGAAAACTAAATAAATACATCATCATGATTGACGTCCCTTCAAGGAGAGATATTCATTGTAACTCAACCCTGTTATACTAAGCTATTTTAGTCGAACTAAAATGGATCTTAGTAAATTTTAAAAACTACAGTTGACAGAAGTGTCAGGTTGAGTGCGTTTTTAAAAATCTATACTTGAATTTTTGAGTAAAACACAATGTAAAGTCAAAATAATAAGTGTTAATCAAGAAATAATCCAAGGCGACGTAAGACAAGGAATGCAAAATTACATTATTTATATGGTTTTGATATCGACAGATACATAGGAGTTAATAATACATATAATTATTATGAAGTTTCATTACAAATTAATAAAATATACATGTTATTAAAATTCAAAACATACAGAGGTTTAGATATTAAAAATGCAATAAAGAATATGATATGTGTATTTGATAAAGAATGAATTTAGGGATCTCGTGCTTGAATATTCTTCCAAAATTGCCCACATTCTGAATGTCGTGTCAAGGTCTCTGTAGCCTACACAGAAACAGCACATTGTCAGAGACCACGCGAACAAAAAGATCCATCAAGAGCAGCCTGTAAATGATTCCTGTGATCCTGGAGGGCGGAGGCTATAGCCAGAGAGCGTGAATTCTACCAGCTGATCAAGAGCACGACTTTCCTGACGCTTGAAAGGATCTCAGGAACTTCAGTTGACTTTTCTCTCGACTTATGGGAAATAAAAGCGACATTTGTGCATTTCTTGTGAGCCGTTTCCCTGAACGTTTGGAAGTTCTGGTTGGGAAAAGGCTCGAGGGATGGCTAGGGCTCGTAGAAGACCCATTGAGACTGAAGACATTGGCAAATGTCATCAAAACCCGCTCAACGAGATCAGCTGGGAATTTAGATTCTATTTGTATTCATAACCGCTCTCTGTCTGTGTGTCCAGTCCAGCGATGCCATATTGGAGGGTTGGTCCTCTGATTGCTAAACCTTGGTGTGTTGGGCGAGGACTCTCTTCGTGTTAGACGCTCATTAAGGGCTAACAAAGGGGAAAGGGGAGAAGGATGGAAATAAATTTCACTCAAGAAGACCAACCACCGAGTCTTGATTTTTCTACCAAGGAAGTCAATTATGAAGAATTTCGTTTGTTACAACTGCACTTGACAGAGAAATTAGTGCGAGTTCCCGTTTTATTGCATCGAAAGAATTGCTGCAGATTGTTACAGAAAGCAGGTCGGGGAAGGTCGCGAATGTATTCAGCTCATACCCAAGTTTATTTTGCTCCGTCATTTAGTCTTTGTTATGGCATCAGGCGCCACACCGCCATTCTCAGAGCCGACTCCGCGATCAATATACCTGCGCGTGGAAGCCACGCACCGTTTGATTGTCACGTGACTCGAGAGTGTGCTCAATTGAAGCAAGTAGGGTTTAGCAGACGACTTTTATAGATGGATGTTCCGCACACATACAGGGTTAATAAAAATCAAAAGTCGTTTTTTCTGCGATGGTCATTTCGGTACAATGGAATGTAAAACGTAAGACGAGTGTATCGTTCTCAAACGCTCACTGTGGATATATTTGATCAGAACCCCTCGTGAGGTGTCTTGCAAGTGGTCATCGAGAGGGCGGGGCAAGCGCACCTTGACGGCTCCTTTGATGTGCTGAGGTAGTGTACCTGGATGACGAGAACATGACAGCTGACTCGAGCTGTGCTCAGGTGAGGAGCAAGGTATGAAAGCGGATGACGCAGAAGGGGAGGGAGGGTAAGCGCGAACGACGTTCGCACTCGGAGGAGTGGGGGAAAGGATGAAGACCCTCGTGGACGCAGGAGCGGAGGGATGGAGAGTGGCGGCATGTGCTTGTGGATGGATTAACGTCAAGGTAGGTCTTACTCTGTACACACAACACAATACCCCCTCACCTGTAGAAGGGCCACATGTGCCAAACAATCAAGTATATCTCTGTTGTGCATTGCCGTTATTGGACTTCTATGACGCTGTTAACTTGGATGCCTCCAGATTAGATCGCTATAGTCGTGGCCGTTCTTACTCAGCTCAGATTGGATTGAGATGTATTGCGGATTTCCAATGTTTAAACTTGTAACCAGCTGTACTTCAGCGACGCCGTAACTCTCAGTTGTGTTCTCATCAGGTGTACTTTATTACAGTTAAACACGAGTTTGGATGTTGTCCTCAAACATACTAACAGTATTGAGCATTAGTTCACAATATGTTCAGCGTTTCTCAATTTGTCCACCGAGGACATGTGTTTGTCAGCCTCTGGGTTTGTAGAGTTAACATGTTCAACGTTTCAGCATTCACTATTCCACTATGGTCAACGTCTTGTGGTTTGGGTTAATTTGCCTTCAAATGACTCCGTCCAACTTCCCGTAGGTTTGTAGTATGAGCAGTTGTCACATTTATTTGTAGCCAGGGATCAAGTTTAGTGAATCTGAGACTGATAGACATCAAATCTCTCTTCCTTTAATGCATTCGGTGTTATACATAAGTGATGAAGGAATGTTAATCTCAAACGTATGGCTCATTGTTGGAGGATATAGATCTTGGTTTGTGACTTCAATACGTGATGTAGCAATCTTGTTCTCAAACGTATGGTATGGTTAAAAGTTGTTGTATAGCTAACTCCCGCTGAGGATTGAGGTGTTGGTTCGTGATTTGGAACTTCTCAGACTTGTAGTGGTGAAAGCATGGAAAGCGAACAGACCTTGCTCGACTACGGGTATTCTTGGGTAAATAATACAACACAAGGCTGTTATTGCTTGAGAATACACGTAATTGACGTGGTCCCATCTTCATCCAGACTGCTTGAATAATTCACCAGATCCTTGGGGGTTCCACGTTCATCCGACTGATTCTGTACAGGAGAGTAGTCCCCAAAGCCTAGAGGACCGGTATAAAGTCACTCTCTTTAAACTAATGAGCCAAGGAAGGCTTCCTCATTTTCATTTGATGAAAATTACATCAGATAAATGATATCGGGGCTTTGAACTCCGGCTCATACAAAATGCATCACATGGCTCTAATAATTGTTGCTTTATTGGCTAAAATCGATGGCGCCACTGGCGTGTGACTACTCGGAACAAATGGCAAGAGATGTGTGAATATGTTTGTCTTCTTCTATAATTATGTGGTGGTTTGTCCTAAATTTCGATGCTGTCTTAATGGCCCTGGCTAATTAGCTTCATGATTAGGGAGGCTTTGTCGGTGTTAATAGGATCGCATGGTTGTTTGCTGTGGAAAAACAGAATTACATCTTTCAGGTCGGATTTAGCAAATATTTCCTCGTCCATTTGCCAATATTCATTATGAAAGTGAAAAAACGGAAGGTTGAGATCCTAATATTTGAAAATGATGTCAATTAATCCTTGATAGATTAAACAGCTTTATGGTACAGTCTGGAACGGTTAAGTACTTAATGCTTTAATGGGTTTGATGACAAATGTACAGTGCTCGATTCCATTTTGTGAAGACTTTTCTCCGATCAAACAAAGCATCACAGATAACTATAATACTTTACTCCATTTCACTATAACACAAGCTAATGTCCGCTGACACAAAAACAGAATAACTGTCCCAAAACATTGATGTAACGTGATGCAACAGAAATCATGGGATGGACGTTTAGCGCCCGATCATTCCAGCCCACTTCATCATTCCTTGGGGATGCATTAAGTGTATCAAAGTATACACTGCTGTGGGCGGATAGAGTCGACCAGTGATAGCAATCACACTGTGCTTGACAGATGAGAGAACGGAGGCAAATGACAGTCATGGATCCGGCGCTCTAATGTGTCCAGGGAAGTGTCTGCCTTACACAGGACTGTCCGTAGATCATTGTTGGACAGACTTTAACACAGAGTTGGCTTGCAGTTGATAGTTACAATATTTAGTAAACTCATGTTAAATATTTTATATTTTAACTGGAAACACCACATTGTTTATCATGAAATATTCATCTAGGATATGATATTTCATAGGACACACTCATTGAGTCCACAGCTTTGAAACTTTAATCAGTATTGGATACCTCAGTGATAGATAAATGGTACATCTCCTTCGAAAGTAAACGAGGACACAGAACGTGAGAATACTCACATGAATACCTAAAAGACATATTTATCGAGAAGTTGAAATATCAGTATTTGGTAATTGAGAAGTATCATTAGATCAGAATACCTGGTAGCAATAAGTGTTTATTGTGTTCTTTATCAAAGTATATCGGTCATATATTTGGACATGTGTTCCCTGAAACTATCGCATTCAGAATATTGGTATCATGTTATAATTATATCTCTGACCGACAGATGTTTTTTCTCTGTCCAATGCTTCACTGAAGAATTAATGGTTCTGGGAGGAGTTTGACGATGGCTACTGTGCTATGAAGTATAGGGGTCATTGGCAAAGATTAACCGTATGGATAGCCTTTAACTCAGAAGATTAGAGCTTCCTTAATCAGCTCATTTTATACCCTGGTCTAAATCTGAAAATTGGTACCTACCCTGAAGGCTCACATGTGTGCTTGGTTCACCCTTTAGAATTTCTAGGTTTTGTTCTAGGATTCGGATTGAAACTAACGTTGTAACAGACCACAGTATTTAAATAACATTTGAAAAAGTAACATTTGTATTTATTTTTTTTAAAACAAAATTCGGTCATTATGATTTGTAAAGGAGAATGATTGGTATCTTCATTTTGTTAATCGTCCAGTATAAATGTGTCCATAGTATTACAAATGGAAAATAATCTTCTATAAGGGTTAAAAATGCTTGCATGACTGTTGTCTATTAGTTCCAAGAATGTACATTATTCTAGCTTAAATATTAAGACGCCTTCGTCTGATGCTATATATTACCGTAGTGTCATCAGATGAAATTATCTACCCATGTTTCTTGTTGCGTGCGTGTGTCACTGTTTCTATGTATAATTCAAAATATATATAATTGATTTTTGAAGCCGCTTCCATGCTAATCTTTCGTCATCCGAGAATTCTACGCTATCCTATAATTGTTTGCATCTCCTCGTATCCTTAGGTAAACATGGCGACAAGTAAACGACTTTATAACACGAATCTGAAATACGTAAACGGCAAATAGGAAAAAGGAAAACACATGTACCTTATGTATATGATCATGTGTCACAGTAAATGGTTTTATATATATACTTGTCTAACAATTTGTCTGTGCCGCAATTAAACCTGTGATACATTTTAATAAACAGATTCTCGCAATGGAGATGAAAGCACAATGGTAACGCTCAGGTGATAATGTATGTACTACAATGCTACGACAGATGCTGTTCAATAAGGGGTATTCTCAGTACATCTAATTCATAATGTCTCGCTATACTATGTATCAGATGATCATTCCACCAATATCAAGCTTTTCCGAATTCCCGTGCTATTGATAATTTTCAACAATGGTTCATTTTAATGAAAAAGTGTTGATTGAATTGGTATGCCCTTTACGAAGAACATTTGCAAGTTGTGGTGTATGGTTTAGCCCTGAGTAATAAAGTATTGTATGGCAGTGTTAATATATTTGCTCCATGTTATATTTCTCTAATTGAATCGTAACCAACACTGTGTCTCACAATACAACCATACCCTACCACATTATATTGACACAACCTGATACAGTAGCATCAGTGAATGATGCGGCACAATTGTACACCTGCTGTAATTTCAATGGCAACCACCTTCAGACAAAATGGTTCATATTAATGTGTCTCATTTCGAAATGGTATACGTAGGATAACACCGAATAAACATTATAATATCTAAAATTAAAATTTCAGAGTTGACGAGACGTATGTTAGTCCCAATTAAGAACACACACCACCTTTTGAACAAGTTTTGTTTAACAGTAAATTGAACAAAGTATATCCTACAGAGGGTGCATATATCTTTGTAACCTGTTATTTCGTATGGATTTACACTTCAAGATTATCAGAAATATTACCGGTAAATAATGATTTAAAGCGTTTAGGTCACATAGTGCCAGGCTGAGTATGATCATGGTGTTTGGTATGTACAGCTGGGATGTACATATGGAAATAATGTGAGGAAGAGCGAGAGATAGCGTAATAGATGGGTAGAGTTGTTAGTGGTACTGTTGCATCTCGGTAAGTGCATTAGAGATCGTCGTTATGGGTTGGGGAAGTCTGCAATTCACTCAAAGTAGAAGTCATCGTAACCCAACAAATACGTGCAGCAATTTAGATACCTATACCGAAAAAAACCCTAGAAGCGGTTGCAGCATCATTACATTAAGCCAAGGCGCTGTGAGGATGTCCCAGATATTGGATTTGAGTAGTCTGGTGTATGTTACTTTGAACATTGAACTCGATCATTCTAGACACTTGTACTATAACCCGGAAAGCCGTATGTGCAACCTTTACACGAGCTGTTGTCTTCCCAACAAAGGCCCTTAGTGGCCAGTATCCATGTAACACAATAGTGACCGGTGATACAGGGCGCCTTGATGGATTAGCGGTCAATGGTCCAGTCTGTGTCTCCTTGGGTCTTTGATACGACAAAAAATACCTGCTTCCGGCGTCGTTCCTTGAAGATACGCATTACTATATCGGAAACATTATAATTTAAGACTTAGGGCCGGCTGGGATCGCGTCGAATGGGCACGGTGCTATTTACAATGCTGGTAATTATCTCCCGCTTTTAAACAGTCAGTTGTAATGAAATTAGATACACGGACTGAACAATCGATTGGAACGATAAAAACATCTGTCCTACATCTTTGAAATTGGCGACTGGAAAATAATATGATCGGCGATAGCTATTCAGCAGTTGTGTGTACAATTAAGTGACTCTCAACTGTGTTGTCGTTGTTTTGCAATTGTTGAAGC